TGCCTCTCCAAAATCTCTTTTAATCCATACCCATCTTAACTTGCATTGTTCCACAAGGCTCCAGCCCAAACCCGCATTGCATTTTCCCACCTACAAGGTGCTGAATATGCTGGACTCAGTACCTCGGGCATGCTCGGCCTCCACAACTGAACACCACTCACGTTCCCCTACACGCTGCCCCTCCTGAGCACAAGCCACCTCCTACAGCACTTAATGTCTGGGGCATCTGCTCTTTCCTACTCTGTAGTCAGCTCGAGTGTTACTTCTCCCCACTACAGTCTTCTGGAAGGTACATTTATCTGATTTATCTTCATAACCATAGTAACACCTTGCACTTGGCCATGGTTCGGTAAGTAAATTTGTAAATGCTCGATTTACAAATGGTACAAATGGAGAAGTGAAGGATGGTGACAGTCTGCCACACATCTTCATCGTCCCTCCACTTCCCCTCATCCACTCACGTCAGAGGTATCTGCTGTCTGTTGGGGTCGTAAAACAGCCTCCTGGCCCAGAAGTCATACCACACAATACAAAAATAAAAGCGGCTCTTTCAACATCCTCAAAAGGCTTGTGTCTTTTAGACACATATTAGTCCTTCGAAGATCGACACTAACATGATGACAGTGCTCTCCACAGACGAGATTTGGTCGTTTCCACAAGAAACCATTCGAATTCATCCATGAGACCCCAAAACAGTCTAATGTCTTAGGACTGTCAGGACTCAAAGGGAATCTCCTCTTTTGTCTGTTTATTCCTGTGATCCACAAACATTTACTGACCTCCAAGTAAATGCCACACACATGAGGAATGCCAAATGGGAAATGATGACAGTCCTGAGTATGACAGGGGAGATAAAACCCAGGACAAAATTTCCAGCATTCACACAGGTCCCTGGAAATGGTAAGGCCCAAGAAGCAACCAGGGGCCCTTCTTGAAGGAACTGGAAATTTGAGCTGAGCCCACTCTCTGGAAACCTGAAAACACTAAACCATTTGCCCTTCTCTTTTGCACAAGGAGTTGCAGGTGGGAAGGAGAAACTAACGCTCTCGACGCGCTTCATTTTTCTCTCAGACAGCAGTCACTCACAACCCCACTCACTGTCCGTTTCTTCGCTTGGATCCAGGCCACAGCCACAGACTCAAGGACAGAAAGGACATCTCCTTTTCAAAACTAGAACAAGTCTTATAACCCAAAAAGTATGTTGGGAAATACGGTGTCAAAGTCCTTAAAAGTCCTTTGAAAGAATGTTTGATGGACAGAACCCACCTTTCCAACAGACATGAAGATCCAGTTCTCTATGGGAGGAGAACTCAAGTAAGCTCACCCAGTGACCCAGACCACCATGGCTTGGAGGGAAAGATCTGCTTCATTCTGCTTGAGGAAATCCCCTCAAACCACAGCACTTGTGAGTTCTCGTCCGGGAAACAGTCAACCTGTTCTTAAAAAGGCATAGCTACTTAAGTCTACACAAACCACTCTTACAGAGTCCCTATTTGGAATACCTATAAAATGTCTGTAACATAACCTGACAGTTTTCACCAAATGTCCCAGTAATATAAAACTTTAAGTGCTCAAGCTCAGGCCAGGATGAAATATTTGTTATTTTACAACTATAAGATAGCACTTAAGGGGTTTTAGGCCCCAGGACATTGGCAAAAATCAGAAACACTAATGCCAGACAGTTGGGCTGCCTCCTAAGACTTACCAAGTAAGTCTTTTAGTCACAGTGGTGGGAGAAGTCCTTCCCCCGGGGCAAGAAAAGGTTAAAGGCTTGTGCACACGCACATTTAAGAGACACTCTACCAAGTTTAAAAATATATTTATTTCACTAAATATATTTTAAATATATTTAAGAATATATTTAATTCACTCTTCTCCAAGTAGTTAATAGAATAATCTTAAAATTCTGTTATAGAATAATCTTAAAATTCTATTCTAGAATACCCACATGTAAATCATTTAATAAAAAGGCAGCTTCTGTCCACTAGACTGACATAATTTTTTCCATTAGATATGATTCTGTCACATTTGTTCAGCAACCACCTTCAGAAGCAAACGCTAACCGTCGCAAAGAGACAATCGTGATGCTCTTTAAGAAACTGCATAGAAACACAAAAGCAAGGTACAGAGATTCACAGAGTCATAGCAGGGTTTCTTTCTTTTCTTTTTTTTTTTTTTAAGATTTTATTTACTTATTCAACAGAAAAAGAGAGAGATCACAAGTAGGCAGAGAAGCAGGCAGAGAGAGAGGGGAAAACAGGCCCCCCACTGTGCAAAGAGCCCGATGTGGGGCTCGATCCCAGGACCCTGAGATCACGACCTAAGCCGAAGGCAGAGGCTTAACCCACTGAGCCACCCAGGCGCCCCCATAGCAGGGTTTCTTAAAAGACCTCCCACATCACCATTGAAGAAAACCCAACAGGAACCATGCCACAGGGACTGAAAATCTACTTAAGAGGGGAATTTGTCTTCCATTTACTTTCACTCGTCAGACATCACACAGACGTAGCTGTGTGCCAGACACTGTGCTAAACTCAAGAGACAAGGATCACACACGTGCTGTCAACGTGCTGATGGGTTGAGTTTGGTCCCTACCATTCTCTACCTGCTGATTTAAAAGCCAGGAAATCTCACATCAACAACCAGATATCTGGCTTCTTTAAAAAAAAAAAAAAAGAGAGAGAGAGAGAGATTGCAACATGGGCCCAGGATCCCTTCACTGACAACTTTCAACTGCAGCACAGAAGCAACTGACCCTATAGCAAAGACCCTACACATTTCCTAGTTTGCCACAGTCTCCACTGTGCCCTACTGTTACCCCAACAACACACCCAGAGGCCCACTCATTTATGTCCCTTTTGGGCCCTGAGGTACTTGGGTTTGCCACTCCCATTCTAGAGAAAAAAAGAGGGGGGAATAAAAATGACCCCTGGCTTAAGAAGCTCAGAGTCTAGTGAAGTCGGTAGACAGGATGAATTACAACATGGTATGTTATAAACTACAGTAGAGGAATAAGCAGGGAGCAACCAAAACCCTATGGAAGGGTGCCAATAACCCCACCGAGAGGAGGGAGGTACCCAGTCACCATCACAGGGGAAAGGACACTTGGGGAGGGTCTTAAGGGATGAGAAGATGGTCAGGCAGAAAATTGGAAGGAAGTCAGACCACATGTGCACAGAGGTGAAAGGACTAAAATAATACGGAGTTTTCCGGAGACAGGGTTAGGCAGAGAAAGGACCTACTACACTAACAATTTTGAACTTATGTCTGGGGCAATGGGGAGCCAAGAGAGCCTTTAAGCAGAGGCTGACATGATCAGATTTGTCCTTTCAGGAAAAGATGCCGAAAGCCTTGTAGAAAATGACCTGGGGCAAAGCTTGCTGGCATGCACCCCTTTGGATGCTACAGGGAACCCCTTTGTGTGGGTTTCCAGGTACTCAGAAACCCTATGTTCTCTGCCCATGATAGGTATCTTGGTGAACTCACCTGTTACTTCTTTCACAGACCGGTAAGGGTCAATGAAGTTATCTTTCTTGAACAGACACAATGAAAATGCTGTAAATTAACATTCAATACTGAACTTTGAAAGGGTCAAAATGCAACAGGCAAGGTTTCTACAGATTATCTCCATTTCACTCACCTACCCTGCTTCCCTTCCCCACTTCCATTGTCTCTGAGAGGACTCAGAAGCTTCTAACAAAACCCCTTGCCTCCCAGGTGTGGCACAAGCTTAACTATCCTTATATTTAAATCACTATAAACATGTCCCAAACCCCATCCTCAAATACCCTTCAGTGAATCACCCATGTTAACTCGAGCTTTGATGCAAGGTCTGGAGGTGGTGAACACATGACGGGTTCAAAGAAGAAGCATCTTACTCAGTAGCCTCCTAGCATGTCCCCCAAGAAACAACAGCCCAGAAAGGCCTGGAGCGAGGACACCAGGCTGCTGCCCAGAAAGAACTGAAGATGGGAAAATACACACATCCTCTCAAAGCAACGAAAAATTAAATCAGTTTCCATCTTCTCCCCCAAACTAAAGCAAATCTCAAAAAAAGCAAAAAAAAAAAAAAAAAAAAAAGCAAAAACAACAACAAAAACTAAGGCAAATCACCGAGAAGAGCTTTAAAAAAACAGTCTCGGTTCTAACAACCCCAAACAGACTATTTCCCAGACTTTTTATTGTTATAACAAACAAAACCATCTTTCAGTTCTTGTCATTTGCAATTACCATGCCGTAATTGAAAACCAGTGAATCACTATGGAGCTTCGGGAAGAGGGGGGGCCTACTCCCTCAGAGCTGTCGCTGTCATCATCACAGAACAACACAGCAACATCGAGAGTTCTTCCCTCACATCTCTAACCTGTGCATTGCAGAGACTCTAAAAACTTCATGCTCTGTCACTTCTCTCGTTCCTTTAAGACGGCATGATATTTCGGAGCACTGACCCTTCAAAAGACCTCAACATAATTTTTCCATCTATTTGCAGGAGCCAAGAATTCAATTAAGAGAAAAATTATCTCGCGAGGGTTTGGACAATTCAGCCTATTAACCCTCGTGGAACTCTGCTGAGAAAAGAACGTGAACCGTGCAACGGGAGGCATCCCACGTCACAAGGAACCGGCCAAGGCAGGGGCAGGGGGTGAAGGATTCCAGAAATCTGGGCCCAACCTGCCACCCTGCCCCGTTAGCAAAGCCCTATGGTGCCCCTGGCCTCCAACCCTGAGGCCCAGCTGGAGGGGCCCAGCTTTAGGATCTTCTGCGAGAGGCTCCCCATGGGCCTCCAAATCTCACCTCGAGTGAAAGCATCACCCATGTAACAATTTTTAGATTCACAGACTCACAGCAGCCCTGCCAAGCTCTGTTTCCATGATCTGATGAAACTGAGCTCACTGTGTAATGGAAAACGACTGGCACGGGTGTGGGCCAGGTGGTCTCGCCCCTTCGTCTGTCCCCAAGCCGACGCCTGTGGTCCGGCCAGACCTGGCACAGTGCCTCACCTTGGTGGCTTCTTCGACGCTCTCCCTCAGGGCCTGCAGCTCCGCATCATACTGCTCCTTCAGCTTGTCCATCTCCAGGTCGTGGCTGGAGACCTCTTCCTTCAGGGCTCCCTTCAGGGCGGTGAGCTCCCGCTCCCGCTTCCTCAAGAGCTCTTCCTGCTCCTCCTTGGCGATGAGCAGATCTTGAAGATCCTGTTTTGCCTGTAGGAGTTCCTGGAGAGAGGAAGCACGGAAGGGAAGGTGAGGATTAAACCTCTTCGCTGAGGGCCGTGCAGGTCCTCCCCAGCGGGGCCACCCAGACGGGCCACCCTACTCCCTAGCCATCCTCCGACTCTCTCCTCCCCACACCACCCACCAGTCTGGACCATCGCCCCCTCTCCCTTTCACTCCTTTGAGGCCACCATCCCCTCGATTTGTCTGTCATGGCTTTTTTGAGTTTGATTTAATTTGAGAGAGAAAAAGGGAAAATGATTGCATTTTCATTGTTTTGAAGGGGCACGTCTGCCTTTTCCACCTCCTTTCCTTCCTGTGCAGTGAATGGTCTGTCGCCTTTGCAGTCAATGGGCTTTTGTGTGCTGTCGCTTCACTGGGGGCCATGCTGATGGGCTGGACTCCCTGCCTCCACACCACCCCTGGGAAAGATCACTTCCTGCCGCAGCTCAACTGACTGAGCCACCCAGGCGCCCCCATCAGTGATCTTTCTTCTGTCATTCTGTTCTCCTCTGTTTCTTGGATCTATGTCCTTTTCCTCAGGGCATAAGAATCCCCTGGGTCAGAGGCAACAAAACAAAACAAAAACAAGCTTTTCCATGAAACTTTCTGAAAGTGTAATTTCTATTCACTATAGAATAGAACCACAACCACTCCTCAATCTCTTGCTATATGGCTTTGGATCCTATTGCACTAAGACTATCCCCTCCAAGGTCATAGCGACCTCTTAATCACCACATCCAGGCTTCATCCCAGTCCTCATTCTTCTCGACACTTCTTTGACTCACCCCCCCCCACCCCATCTCCTTAAAATTCTTTTTGGCACCGCAGTTCAAAGACAGTCCGCGCCTGTTCTCTTCCCTCAGGCTGCTGCTTCTACCACAATTTCTTCTGGCTTTTCTCTTTCTTCCCAAAAGCTAAGATCATCCCCAAGAATGCAACTTGCATTCTTTATTCTTTTTTGGCAAGCTTATCTATGTTTCCCCCAGCTATTAATGCTAAGCAAGTAACTCCCAAACCTTTACCTCCGACTCCTACCTGAGTTCAGACCTGCACTTGCGGCGACCTGCCAGACACATCCATCTGGATGTCCCTTGGGCACCTCAGGCTCAGGAAGTTTATGTTTTTTGGTGAATTCATCAAGTTCTTTCCTTTCCTCCTCCTCTGTTCATTATTCTTATAAATGGCACCACCTGCTTGGGAGCTTGGAAGCATCCATGACCTCTCTTGCCCTTGTCCTTGTCCTTGACCATTCAAAAGTTCTTTAACATCTTAGATCCTTTGCCTCACCTCCCTGGTTTAGGCTCTCCCACCACCCACCTGCTTCCCGCGTCCAGCCACTCAGCTGGGGCCCCTATGACATTATCCACATGCATTCCCTCGTCTCAAGTGCCATTCTTCCCTCTCAATCCCGCCTCTCTCTGCCTCTCAGAAAAATCTCTGAAGACATAGATCCAGCAGGACCTCCTCCAAGAAGTCTTCCTTGAGTGCCCCTCCTGATATCCTTCTCACTTTAGCTGGATGTCTCAGAGCACATAATTCTTTTACCTTGCAGTCCATACAGACTATTTTCTTTTCTACCCTGCTAGACTATAGGCCCTTGAAAGAAGGATATCGATCTGATCGTATTTTTGGTGCACGGCTCAATGATATCGGGAATGTGTCTTTCTGAGTATAAGTGAATTAACGTGTGCAGTACCCAGAAGTCTGCAGATAACAGAATTCTAAACGAGTGTCTTTTTTTCACAGGACACACACATCCTGTGCTCTTGGAGCTCCCGAGGAATCAGAGGAACGGCTGCCACCTGGGGACCCGAGGCCTCAGAGATGAGAAACTACTTTCCATTCCAGGAGAATGTGACTCGTGAGGGGATGAAAATATAACTGGCAATGGAATCTCTTTCCTTTTCTCTAGGATATGCACATCTTTGAACCAGGGGAACCCCCACAGTCCCAGGGAAGGACCACGCTGCAGAAATCAAGACTTCACCCTTCCAGAAACTCGCAGGCAGGCACTGATGGATTCGGTGAAATGCCGAGGGACTCATCCAGGTCACTACGGTAATTCGAGTGCCTCCAAAGCACCAAGCACAGAATACATGAGCCAGTCTTAGGAAAACAGAGCCCATCCTGAGATTTGTCAAAGGGGGACATCCTGGTTGGTGCGAGGCTGCCGGCCCCTCCTTCAGGAGGACCAGAGACGCCTCCATCACTGTTGTTACCGGCTACCCCTGCAGGTCTTCCTGGGCCTTCTGCCAGCCTCTCCGTAGAGTCCCTGTGATTCTAACCCCCCGTTTCCTGCTCTTACTCTCACACATTTCTCAGTTGTTTTGATGATAAGGCAGTTCCTCTTCCCACACTTATCTTTTCCAGGATATAGCTGTGCTTTGTGTCGCCTTTTGTGGAGTGTCACCAACGCATGTCAAGAACCTAAGTTTTCACGGTCTGTTTGACACTGACGTGCTGTTATCTGTGGTTGTGGCTGTCGCCTGGGCAGCCCGTGTTGTACAGATCCCATCAGATTACACCGCACCGTATCACTTAGCAGCCCTTGGAGGTTGTCCAGGGTACAGACCAAAGGCAGGAGAGATTTCAAAAACCTTACTTCACCACCTCAGCAGCCTTACTGCCAATCATCTCAAATATATAAACTTCAAAACACAAATAACTATCCATCGGAGATGAGCATGCCTCTCTAGGGACACCAGAGAAAACAAAGGGAGGTCTTGGCCAGTCAGAATCAGCACTTTCAAAACCTCTATGCATCCGGGCTAGCTGCAGATACAAAACCATCCGGGAGATAAAAACCGAGTGAGTGTATATGTGTGTATGTGGGCAGGGAGGGGCTGCAAATTTGACTGCGCTTGGTATGCAGTAACGTAAAAAGAATTGTGCTAAGCATTTCCAAAACTCCTAGGAGATGAATATTCAAGGCGATTAACAGTATTCTCATTCTTAAATGGAAAACAAAACAAAAAACCCAGAGCTCTGAGAAACTAACATGCCTAGGACCACACAGCTCACATGTGCAAGTCTGGGACACAGACTGGAGACCACTGCCCTTCTCTTTACCATGCAGCCCCTGTGGGCCTGACAACAAGCCTACACACTCGAGGAGGAGAGGGGCAAACAATTACACCACGCTCAGTCTCTTCGAAGCAAACACAACAGAGCACTGTGTCTGGCTGGAAGTGCTATAAGGAGGTCCTCTCCTTAAAGAAAAGGGACAAGCCCAGAACCTAAAAGGAAAAAAGAAAAGCTGAAAGAAAAAGGAAAGTACACTCTGGCACCTGGCTGTTATTAGCAGCAGCAAGTGGCTGTCCTGACAGCAGGTGCACTGAGACCCACACACCAGAATACCAAGCCAGCAGCTCACTTGCCCATAGAAAGCCTCATTTCACACACCAGTGGATCCACTGACTCACCAGTAGTCCACGCCAAACTGAGAAGAATGCTGATCTCCTCTGTGTGCATGTTTCCCAGAAGTTATAGGTCTCTATCAGAGGCCCATACTCATTGAAAGGACACAGAAAAGGTCTTATGTCAAAACTGTAGCTGATAGGGAATTATGTAATTTTTCCCCCAAAAGAATGGCCTAGAAACATACTACAGTTGATGAAAAATGTATTTCTAGTTATTTTTTTAAATTAAAATTTGTAAGATGTACAGTCCTGTCCTACCAGGGTTTTACTGTTAGAGACCTCATTTCTGAACACAGTCTATCCTCAGATCAATACAATTTCAATACCAGAATATTTTAAGTACTCACATCTTAGCAAATGCCAGAGATAAGCCATTACCAGCCTCTGCTGCAGTAAGGCCCATCCATCAGCACCAGAGGCTCCCATCAAAGACGATGGTTGGTGATTTGAAACTCCCCCGTTGGGGCGCCTGGGTGGCTCAGTGGTTAAAACCTCTGCCTTCGGTTCAGGTCATGATCCCAGGGTCCTGGGATTGAGCCTCACATCGGGCTCTCTGCTCAGCAGGGAGCCTGCCTCCTCCTCCTCCTCTCTCTCTGCCTGCCTCTCTGCCTACTTGTGATCTGTCTGTCAAATAAATAAAAATCTTTAAAAAAAAAATAAACTCCCCCGTCTTGGCACTTAGAGCAAGGGCTCATATTCACATTACCCCCAGACTGGAGGGGAATGAATTTACCGACAAAGAAGTGGTTGAAAACTTATTTTGTAATCACTTTTGTAACTTGAGTTTAAAAAAAAAAAAAAAAAAAGCCCAGAACCATCAACTTTTTAACAGAATAACAAAGTCACCTCTTTTTGGTCAATTATATGGTTTATCCTAAGAGAATGGTATTATTTACTCTTTCTTTCTTTTTTTAACTTTATTCTCTCTTACTGTTACTTTTCTGATTTTGTGTTGGTGTCCAATGTTATTTAACAAAAGGCAAAACATTAAAAGAGCTTTCATGAAAAATCTTGTGCATTTGGCAAGCCTCCCCAAAATAAAAAGCCTTCAGCCTTTTTCAAACACTCAAAAATAGAAGTGTTTAATGTTCGTTGTGTTTAAGAACCTGTTCTAAGCCAAATGCCATGGAAAACTTGGCCATAACTATCATCTGTTATCAGACTCCCCCAGGCCACTTTTCATAAAGATATGAAGAATAAATTGAATGTGACAGGGGCGCCTGGGTGGCTCAGTGGGTTAAAGCCTCTGTCTTCGGCTCAGGTCATGATCCCAGGGTCCTGGGATCGAGCCCAGCATCGGGCTCTCTGCTCAGCAGGGAGCCTGCTTCTTCCTCTCTCTCTCTGCCTGCCTCTCTGCCTACTGTGGTCTCTCTCTCTCTGTCAAATAAATAAATAAAATCTTAAAAAAAAAAAATTGAATGTGACAAGGGTATAGGATCTATTTTATTAGTGGTATAGAAACCATAGGTCACATTTTCACTACTGCTGACAAGTCAAAGGCACCTGATTGAAACAGTGAGGATGAACCTCCAGAGAAACCCACTCTGACACCGAAAAACTAACTGTGCCCTAACTCATCTTGCAGAAAGACAGGAGTAGATACTGTCCCTCCCATTACAGGAAAGAGGCAAATAATCAGAAAACCAACAATATCGGCTATTTTCAGAGCAGATGTGCTCTGTTTCCTTTTCTGTGTCTTTCATCACCAGCCTGAAAACACATAACTAAAACTGAGGCTCATATCCTTACCCTAGTGACCACTAACAATAAATAAATAAATAAACTATTTAATTAATTAAATTATATTCATTCATATATGCTCAGTGCATTGTGCTTAAAAAGACAAAGAAGCATGTGGCTCAATTCAGAATTATTTCCTTTTCTTAAATGGTGACAGTTCTAAAATAATTTAAATACTGAAATTTATTTATTCATTTGCTCTATTGCTTGGCACCGTGTGAGGCAAGAAATGGGGGAAGAAGCAAAACCGACATGTTCTTGAACTAACTGGCTAGCAGAAGATATGGGCAGATATAAAATGGATCAAGGTCAAATGTGCTAAAACGAACCTATAAGGAAACAGGATTTCAGGTGAAAGGACAACTAACCATTAGAGGTTTCAGTTAGTGAGAAAATCCAGCAACTTAAAAGACTTCCCAGCAGCAAAAATAACACCCGCCCCTTTTAGAATCAATAAAGTGTCCACACAAGAATCATAGGATATGGCGAAGTCTTCTATTTAAATTTGTTTGTGAAGCTACATTTTTATTGAAAGCCATAAACTGTTCAGTTGACATCATTTCTGGGAACTTACCCTTAGGAAATCTTTCTAAAGAACTAAAAGGATACATGTGAAAAACATTCAACACATTTTTACATAATTTGGAAAAAAAAAAAAGAGAGAGAGAGAAACAATAGAGAATGATGATAAAATTTATTATGGCTTATCTCCCTAAAAAATGAAATAGGAAGAATCTAGATTATAATAAGGAAAAATGAACTTTTTAAAAGATTTCTTTATTTATTTGAGAGAGCGAGAGCAGGTACGTGCAAAGAAGGGGCAGAGGGAGAGAGAGAGAGAATCCCAAGAAGACTCTGCAATGAGTGCAGAACCCAACACAGGGTTCAATCTCATGACCCCAACATCATGACCTGAGCCAAAACCAAGAGTCAGATACTCAACCGACTATACCACCCAGATGAGCCTGACAAACGAACTTTAAAAAGCAGGTATCAGGGGTGCCTGGGTGGCTCAGTGGGTTAAGCCGCTGCCTTCGGCTCAGGTCATGATCTCGGAGTCCTGGAATCAAGCCCCGCATCGGGCTCTCTGCTCAGCAGGGAGCCTGCTTCCTCCTGTCTCTCTGCCTGCCTCTCTGCCTGCTTGTGATCTCTCTGTCAAATAAATAAATAAAACCTTTAAAAAAAAAAAAAAAAAAGCAGGTATCAGAGCTGTAGGGACACTATAATTGTCCCTAAATTATAGAAGTGTAGATGAAAGCTATCAATGGGTAGGGAGATAATGAAGAAATAAATATAGATATTAAAATAGAAAATATAGAAATAAAAATGTTTTCACCACCCTCCGTTTTAAAATTCCATTTCATAATTTAAAATTTTTATTTACTTATTTATTTATTCTGAGAGAGAAAGTGAACATGTGAGCAGGGGAGGAGAGGCAGAGAGAGGGGAGAAAGAGAATCCTAAGCGCGTTCCATGCTCTGCACAGAGACGATGTAGGGCCCCGTCTCACAACCTTGAGATCATGACCTGGGCTGACATCAAGAGTCGGACGTTTAACAAACTGAGCCACCCAGGCGCCCCCATTTTATGATGTTTTAATATTTCAGTGACAAATACACCATTTTCAAACCCCATTCTAATGTACCTTGTCTTTGTAACTCAGCCCCAAGAAGAAGGCGGAGCCATGAGAAGAATATAATATCACGAACGTGGCAGTTTTTAGGATAAAGGCCATTGGATAAAAAAAGACAAACAGGTGCTAAGGAACATGCCCAAGGCCTTCTCAGGAGAAAAGGTCTAAGTGGAGACAGAGAGATGCTCATGTAGGAGAAGGGAAACAATTCCCCTCTGCCCATATGGTAAAATGAATTCATGAGAGCACCGGCAACTGGGTGGCTGCCACCACCAAGTCATTGGGAAGAGACTCTAAGTTCCAAAGAGCGAGATCTAAAATCCCTCCAGGGAATTACTCCCAACACGAAACATGGAAGGGAGTGAGAAAACACTTGATAGCCGAGACTCAGAGGCAGCCAGAAACTTGAACTCCAAAGCCAGAGCAACAAGACCCAGGCCCTTAGGGGGAAAGCTGCAGAAAATGAGAAGTAAATGCTGACATGGTACCTTTACTGTTTTACTTTTTTATAGTTTCTTCTTCTTCTTTGTTTTGCATTATTCTAAATTGTGTATCATTTATTCATTGGCTGTTCCTACAAACTGAAGCTTATAAGGAAATAAGCTTCAAAACTATGCCAAAAATACAGGTTATGATAATTATAGCCAATATCAAGACATCTAAATGGGCACAGAGATAAAAGTTCTATTTCTGATCTTCAATTATACCCATTTCCAACTTAAAAAAAAAAAGTAGACATTCACAGCCTATGTGTGTATCTACCACATTAATAGGATGGCAGTCGAACTCACAGAAGAGATAGTAACTGTCTTTGAGAAACCACACAATCATTAACAAACGCTAAGCAGAAGAAAGAGTCAGCTTCATTCACTGACTCATGGATTGGTAAGAACTAAATAGTCTATAGGGAATATACTGATATGGGCAGAAGCCAGACGGGCAGCCTGTGTACACAGCAAATGCATTCCATTCATTTATTTACTCACTCACTGTTTTACTCATAATGCATCCATCCAACCATCCGCCAATTACTTGCCAAGTGCTGTATGTCCCAGGCACTGGAACAGCTGATAAGGATAAAACGCCAAGCCAACCATCACCAACCCTGCCTCCTAGAGCTTACATTCTTATGGGGGCCTTGAAAAAATCTGTGATAAGTGCTATGTGGGCATAAGCATCTTTAAAATACTTTCCCATGACTAGCATCACTTACAAAGTGTTTTTGCCCAAAGTTTAACCCAAATCTATTAGTGTTTAGATCTAATTTCAAATTTACTGGAAATGTAGGAGACAGTGGAACAAGTTAATGGACACCATAAGGAAATAATCAGACAAATCCAGAATGTGGGCCATTGGTCCACATTCCATCAATGGAATGGAAAGGGAGCAGGAAATAGGAAATTGGTGGCAGAATACTAAGATAAATAAACTCAGAGAAAGAGAACAATGAAAGCAATACGGGATTCTTGACTGGATCCTGGCTTGGGGCTGGAGGGAACAACTATAAAATATACTTAAGGGACAACCGGCAAATTTTGAATAAGAACGAGGTATTAGAATTATTGTTATATTATAGGAATTATTCATTGTTTTAGGTATGATAATAATATTGTTATAACAAAATTCCCTAATTTTTTAAAGATGCATGCCAAAAAATTTAGGGGTGAAGTGTGGCGTTATCTGTAATTTATTTCGAAATGGTTCAGCAAAGATGAAGAGATGGACAGATGAAAAAATAATAGGATAAATGAATGGACACGAAGAAATGGGGTAAGTATGACAAAATGTTGACAACCATTGGATTTGGGTTGGGGCTCTATGGGAATTAATGAATTACTCTTTCTACTTTTCTGTATGGTTGAAATTTTTCCTAAGACAAAGTTTAAAAACTGTTACAGATGATGCTTTTATGGAATCTAGCCATAGGCAGAGTGGAGCAAATGCACATAACGGAATAAGGCTTGTAGTATCCAGACTCCGCCCCCCCCCCCCCCCCCCATCCCATCCTCTCCAGGCACATGGGGTCTGCCTTACCACCTGATCCCTCGTCCCCCCACCACCACCTTCCTTACCTCAATCAGAGCTCCCTTCTCCCTGTCCTCAGATCGTTTAGCGCTGTCTAATTCATCATGCATTTCTGAGAGCTGGTCTTGAAGATCCCTGATCTCTGTCTGGTGCTGTTCCCGTTCCATCTTCACCTGGAACAGTCTGGCAGGGGAAGAGGCCCGTCAGAGAGACTGTGCTAAGCCTTACATTTTTTTTCATCCAGTCTGATTTCAAACATTCAGATGGTTAAGCAAAGTCATCAGAAGCCCCAAGGAGCCTCCCACTCTGTGTTCTATACTGAACAAGGAATCACAAACCAGAAAAGGCACTGGTAAGAACTCAGGTCTGCAGTTTAATTTGCCCAACAAGAAGACAAGTGAGAACTCAAACCAATGGGGAAGGTTATACAATGACGGTTTCTCCCCAAAAGGAGACCGTAGTGTACAAGAATTTAGATGACAAGAAAGAAATTGACCCAAAAAAGCAGAACCTCTTTGATAAATGTTTTCACTAAAGCCATCCCACTCCCTACCCCCCACCCTGCCCCCAGCCCCAGAAGAGCCAGCAAATTACGGCCTACTTGGCCAATCTGGCCCACAGCCAATTTTTCTAAGTAGTTTTATTGGAATATAGCCATGCTCATTCATTTACATATTACACATGGTCATTTGCACAATACAATGGCAGAACTGAAGGGGTCCAACGAAGACCATATGGCCCATAAACCATAAAGTATTTACCATCTGACAGAAAAAGTTTGCCAACCTCTGCTCTAAATCAAACTCACAACTGTTTTACCTTTTGATTTTGTAAAGTCTTCACTACACCCTAAATTTTATTTTTTTTTTTCTCACCAATGTTTCTAAAACTAACCTCTAGGCATGTTTCAAAAGCAAAAACTACATCATCAAAACTGCAAAGGCAATCAAATGATCTTATTGTATATTTCTTGAATCTCCTCCTGCTTAAACCTTCACTTAAGACCTCCACTGTGTCTGCAGAGCTTCATAGCACTGTATGTTTGCAGAGTTGGGTTTCAGAGCTTTTTGTCACAGATTTTAAAATGATGCAACGACAGGGCCATCTTGGCTTTGACTCTCCCTCTCTGCAGACTCAACAGAGGCAAAAGCACTGGTCAGCATCCTTCAGAATAAAATTCACAAACTGGGAGATTACAGAAGTCACAGGACATGTGCTTTTTGGAGGCTAAGGCCAGGCTCCTTGAGATCTCTGTCTATAGACATCCCTACTCAGCATTCCCTGCTTCTTGCTTGCCGGCTCTAGGAGCCACTCTCAGGGCTGAAATTTTACAAGGCATCCTTTAAGGTATACAACGAATTTGTTAAATCATTAGCCTTCCTGCTTACAGTCTGCGTGTGTCACCAGCTTCACAATTTTACAAGGGTAAGAAGGAGAAAAGGAAGGGTCAGTAGCCCCTCTAAATATTTGGAAGGCTGGGTAGTACTGAACAGACAAGAAGGTTCTGGCTCCACCCGATGCAAGAACCCAGGCTCCCTGCCCAGAACTCACTCCTCCAGGTTCTTCCGGAGCTCCCCTTCGCTCTCTTCCAGGCGCTGTTGTAACACGGAATTCTCTTCCACTTTACTGTCATGCTGGCCCTGGAGCTCTTCCAAGCTTGCTCTCATTCTCTCTCTCTCTTCTTTCATGTTCTGCTGATTCTAAAATGAACGCATGTGATTTTCAAGCATCTCCAAGGAACGTTCATGTAATCCCACAGAAGGCTACCCCGAAACTCTCATGGACTCCGTGTCTTTGCACTCATTTATTAAACAACTTAATCAAGCCATATAATTAGGCCTGGGAGTTCGCAACTAGAAAGAACATTAAATACTGAATGAGCTGTAAGACTTCTAAAAGAAATACCAAGGCAGCTAAGGTTCAGTCTGCTAGTTCTATTACTCAGTTTGGATATTTTATATGCATTTAGTTTCCTACTGACCCACCCAAATCCAACAGCGCTTTACTCTATCAAAGCAAACAGTGTCTATGGGTTTCAGTTACTTCAAAAAATTTTAAAATAAAAAAAAAAAAGTTCTTTGGACAGCAGGAGCCAAATATACAGGAATTTACTCAGTGATGAGAGGAATGTTTCTTTGGGGTGGGGGTGGGGACTGGCTTTCACTTCACTTAGGCAACCAGATATGCTTAAAATATTCTTTGTAAGACAGAAATTTTAAAAATGACATAAAAGAAAAAACCAGATACCTTGACTTCTAGTTGAAGCTGTCTCTGAAGTTCAGCCACTTCTGTAGTCAACTTGTTTTTCTGTTCCAACAGATCTCTGACTTCAGACGAAGGATTAGAAGCCTGTAATTAATTGAAGAGATACCCCAATATACATGTTCAAGATGCTTTATTTTCTCTTTCTTCCAAAATGTAATCCAAGCAGTAACATCAAAAACCTAAGACCCAATTCAAATGTAAAGCCCTCCAAAGAAAGGGGCACCAGGAAACCCTCCAGGGGTGACCGGAGGGCTCTGGACCTTGATCAGGGTGGTGTGTGCATTGACACACACCTTATATTAAAAATTCAATGAACCAGACAGTTAAGATTTGTGCAATTTACTATATAGACGTCATACCCCAATAAAACAATGTAAAAAGATAAAAAATAAATATTTGTTGAAGGTTCCTCCACTGCCTAAGGTTATACCCAAAGCCCATGTTTCTGTGTTCCCAAGGCCCTTTGTAAAATCTATTATTATAAAACTTCCATTACACTGGGAATCATTATTCCAGAACCTGAGATGTTCTCACTCTCTGCATATGTCTGTATTTAAGTAGTAAATAAATGTATGTTGGCTGAATTGGCTTTCTTCTTTTAGAGGCTGCATGTCCATAAAGAAGGGAGATATTAACAAAGAGGGGTCTGATTAGAGAGTCTATTAGAAAACAGACTCTGATCTGAGTATTAATATTAACGATCTCATTTTTTTTTCCTCATGGGTATAATAACAGGATAATGCTCTCAAAAGGATTTGGCTAAAACTCTACAGAGAAGTGGTTAGAATGCCACAAAAGGGGAGGAGAGAGGATAAAAGGCAGGAATCAAAACTAGAAAAAGACATGTCTTGGGTCTCACGGGCCTGAACCCAGGTGTGAGTTGTGTGTGATGAACTTGGAATGAGGTACTTCCTCACTACTCCTGTGAAGTTAACCAAACCCAACCATCCACAAAAACACAGGATTTCCTATTTTCTTAGGCAAAATGAGAAAAATCCATTATGGAACTCTAAATCCAACCCAATGAGGGAAATTGCACATTGTTGTCACACGAATGAAAACTCTATCTACTCTGCTGTTTCCAGTATGGTCTTTCCTTCTCTCAGAGGAAATCACTCCACTGACACCAAAAAGATAAAACTCCAAAGCCTTTGCCCACAAATAATCACATTCAGAAAATAACGGGGAGAGAACAGGAGTAGAAAAGTCTGGGCAATTAAGCAGTCATGGTGCTGTGATCTTAGCAAGAAGTCTAAAAGCTATGGTTCATCTCATCATCTCTGGCTTAACGGGTTTCCCCTCATCTCACCTCTCTTCAAAAGCTACCAAAGGAATGAATTTCTGCAAATACCTCACTATTCATTCCTCTTCAAAGCCCATCAGTAATGGCCCAGCACCTTCAGCCAAAAATGGAAACTTCTACGATTTCTGAGGTCTTTCCTATCTGGCACTTCCTCCCACATCCTGGCTCTCTGATCCAGCTATACTAAATTGCCTTTAGTCCCCTAAGCATCACAAACACCTGCCTTCTTGTATTTGTTCATGCTGGTCCCACCACCTAGAACACCCTGCCTTCCCTTCTTCTCCCAGAGCCTTCTTTACTCTTGGAGACACTGTTAGTGTCCCGGATTCCATAGGGCTTAACCTAACTTCCCTAGTTTGGTCTGGATACCCATAGCCTGTGACCCACAAAGATAATCTTCACATCAAGGCCAAAAGGATGTATCACCCTAAAAATATGCAGTTGAGTGAAAAGCAAGAGTCACCCTTATAATTTGGATTTAAGAGTTTTAGCACAAAACCCCTAAATCAATTTTAAGAACTATGTAGAGCCCCTGAAGCCTGCCTATAAGCTAGGCGTATAATTTAAAGATTCCCCCAGGGGAATAGTGCATGTGTGCGTGTGTACGTAATCATTTTAATGGATGCCATAGCAGCAGTCATGGGTTAGCTGAGCATTGACCAGTAGAGAAAAGAGGGAACTGAGGCCTAAGAACATCCTGTATATTTCATATGCATTTAGACAAACTTGCTGTGAATTGTCTCGGGTATACTCTTTCCTTTCCATGCAGAATTCCCCGGGAGGGACAGAGAAGACACACAAGCAAGAAATGGGTCCCACTTCAAGGCGGTACAGGACTGAGGAACAAGCTTCTAGTCATCCCTACCAAATGTTGCTTCCTCTCAGGGTACAAGGTGTGTCGGGCACGTAGCCGATGTTCATCAAACATGAAACGACTCCTTCAACAACAAAAAAATCTCCACGTGTCAACTGGATTCAGTACAATAAATGGAATGGGCAGTTTTTTAAAAAAAAGAATTTGGCCCCACTGCACTCCTTCCTTTCTCTTCCACCCATGCTTGCTGGCTTCACCAGTCTCTAGTCCTTATTCTCTGACGTTCTGGAGCTTGGGTCCGGTCACACTTACCTTCTTCCTTCGGGACCTCGGATTACGCTAGGGTTCTCTGTCCCTGATTTCAGACCGTCCTTCCTGTTCTTATTTTCTCTTTCTAAATTTCACCACCTTTCTGTTTCATCTTGCTACAGGTTACATATTTTTTAAATCAAATCTCTTAAACACCTTTCTGAAAAAAAGGCAGGTGCATCATAATATTTACAACATGGATCTCCCATTTTAGGTCCTCCTCACTACTCGGGTAACTTCCCACTTACTGCAATAACCCCATGTACAGGCTGAAGGAACAGCAATTTGTTTGCCACATTCCACGTTAAATGCCCTCTGCAGAATACAGAACTCCAATTTACTTGATTATTTCCTTGTGTGCTCCCTGCTGCTCGAGACTTCAAAGTCTGGATTTTCTCAAAGACCAGGTTGACTTTCCGTTTAGTGGCGTCGTCATTATCGGTGCTTCTGGGAAAGAGGGAGCAGAAAAAACAGTGAGGGGTATGACCATGGGTCTCGGGATACCTGAAGTGCCATGACGTACAAACAACAGACCCGTTTAAGAAGATCGATGGCAAGAAGTATGAATTAATTAAGGCTACAGACAAAGCCAGTGTGAGGAGAACGGGATGGATGATGTATTTCTCTCCAAATAAGCTGCTCTATGTTAACACTCAATCTGGGACGAGGGTTCCCATTTCCAAGAGGGAATGTAAAAGAGAGGCACCCACATTCTGAGCCTGGAGAAAACATACAGTGAAAATTTAGTAATTTGTTGTTGTTGGACTCAAATGACTTCTATTCATTCCAGCAAGGAATTTCTTCTGTGTGTGTGTCTCTCACACACAACCCACAGCCACACTTTACTTGTAAACCTTATGCTAAGAATGATCTACAGTGACCTTAACTGGCTTTTTAGCCTGTGTTTAAAAAAATAAATCGCCCCAGCTGAGACTGTCAACACCAGAGCTTCGTCTACATGTTCACAGATAATGATCAGAGAGAGACGTTTGTTTGTTTGTTTGTTTGTTTTTTAAAGATTTCATTTATTTACAAGCAAGAGAGAGAGAGAGAAGCAGACTCCCTGCTGAGCAGAGGGTCCCGACACAGAGCTTGATCCCAGGACCCCGAGATCATGACCTGAGCCAAAGTCAGATGCTTCACGGACTGAGCCACCCAGGAGCCCCAGACAGTTTTATTAACTTCGACCACACCTTCTATCACACATTCCTGGCAATGAGGAAAAAATTTTTAAATAAGTTCCCTCAAATAGTCACCTCCTGTTAACGTCTATCTCACCAGTCTCTCAATAAATCATGAGCAAAAAATCTATATAAAAGAATTTAGAGAAAGAATTCTAAAAATTGAAAGCTCTTCTCCCTGAATCTTATCATGGTAAAACCCTTCACAGAAAGACACCAACAGCTAGTTCTTGGCTAGAAGAATCTCTTCGGTTAGTCCCCACCCCCAACCCCATGCCAAAAAGAGCCCCTCTCTTATATTCTGAACCTATTTTGTCAGCTCGATAATTGTAAGGTATGATGGAAAAATGTGAAGTTTGGATACCAATGAGTACTTGCCAAGTGACTTGCAGTCACGTCGGGTTGTAAAGATTTTTTTTTCCTTTTTAATCCTATCTGATGAGACAATGGAAACAGAAACTGCAAATTCCTGACCTAATATCTCAGCAAGGACTGAAAACCAGATTACTCAAACTCAACCTCCAAGATAAGTCTGTGAAAAGCAGTGCTTTTAAATGACTCATACATGCTTTAAAAAGCAAGGAAGCAGGGGCTCCTGGCCAATGTCAGCTCCCAGAAGGGGAAGAGGTGGTTTTATTTATCACTACTAATAAGGGACGATTGATTACTACTGCATGCATGACAAACTCAAGGTGGCAGAGTCAGTCAAAACTGAGAAGGAGACATTCTTCCCATCTTTGAACTTCTTTTTAAACAATAGAGAGTCATTTGAAAAACAGGGGTCCCTGGCTGGCCCAGTTGGAAGAGCACACAACTCTTGATCCTGAAGTTGTGAGTTCAAGTCCCACAGTAGATGTAGAAATTACTTAAAAAATAATAATAAATTATATATATAAACTCATTTTCCCCCTGCTCTTCATACCCACACCCAAGACTCAAAAACTGTTGTGCAAACTCCAGCCACTGACTCCTAAGCCTCACAGTGCAGGAAGGGAGGGCAAAGCAGAAGGTCTCAGAAAAGGAAATTAAGACCCCATCAGTAAGGACGAGACTTTGCTCCTTTAAGGAAAATCACTGACCCCTCTTTGAGGTAATTGTAAAGTATCTGCTTGGCCGTCTCCTCATTGGTTTGTTGAGTGAGCTCTTGCTGGCCTTTCAATAGATCCGGAGTGGCCTGGAACATAAAGCCAGTTATTACACCACAGGATGGAGTTTCCAGGAAGAAGGCAAAACCCTGAAGCAGAAGCTTCCAAACACATTCCTACTTTCCAAAAACAATTCCTTAGGTAAGGATCCTCATTACAATGTCTCCACCACTCGGTAGCTCTATAACCTTGGGCGACTTACTTAACTTCGACTCAGCCCAATTTTCTCACCTGTAAATGACAGATTAATAGTAACTACCTTCATAGGGTTGGGGCAATCCTAGAATGTATAACAAATAAATAGTGCCTGACACTTACCAACCTTATCATCATTTTTACCACTATCATTATTTTTTATTGGTACTACCAAAACACTACATATACCACTTCAGTCAATTCCGTCCCTTTAGGAGTGACCTAAATCAAAATTAACCTAATTTCTCAGGCCAGATATTAACCCAGTCACTCAACATCAGGAGAAAAATCAATATATCTACACAAACCTAAGCACTGAACCTCTGTGTGTTAACAAATTCTGCACACCTGCAGATGCCACACAGACACAAACAGGAAAAACGAAGCAGAGTGTCTGACAAGTCCCTGACAGAAAAGTCCATGACAGGATTCTAGCTGTACCTGAGTTAATGTGGAAAACCATACAATTGGCAGTAGGTTGAAGACTCTGTAGGGGAAAACTGAAACAGATCGGATATGCCTTTAGTGAGGGTCTGCGTTCCTGTAGCCTCCTGCAGCAAGGAAGGAAAGTCCCATGGGCCTTACCTGAGTATTAGAGGTGGAAGTAAATGTCTTCACAGAAATCTTCTTGGCGCCAGAGTCGGGCAAATTTGCTGGTGGCCTATTCTGTAACATCAGCTTCGCCGTGGCTGTTTTGATTTCCTCCTCCTTTTTATTCTGTGCTGGGAGGGAAGAAGCTTGTGTGTCTGTACTCTCCTGACCACCTTTGTTTTCTGGAACTTTCCCATCTTTGCTCTGCTGGGGAGGCCTGAGGTGGGCCCCCTGCAGCCTCGCAAAGGCCCGGCCCACACTCTGTCTCCCCCGGTGCTCCTGAGCCGGTGACCTCTGCGGGCACACCTGAGATGGGCGGAGAAGGTGTTCGCTGGACTTGCCCAAGTTCCGGCTAAATTCGTTTAGGTACTCGGCGTTCCCCTGGAGACCAAAAGGAAAGGCACTATCCACGCTTCTGGACCGCTTCCTGTCTTCTGGGTTGATTCTGTTTCGCTTCCCAGACCTTCCTCTCTTCTGGAGCCCAGGTTTTTGGTCAAACTTTTCAATCAGTTGGTCCACACCAGGAATTGATCCTGTATCAATATCCCGCCCAGTTCCTGGCAAGAAGGGGATATAGCGTCTGTTTTCATGACGATTCACATTGTCGGCATGGATGGCACATTCCTGGTCATCAAGTAAAAATCGGTACAGAGAGTTGGCCGAAGTGGGAGTTGCCGATGAGGAAGAGGACCTCCGGGACCGAGCTCCATCCAGGACGGGTCCCGCCGAATCCTGCCGCCGGAAGGGAAGCACGTCCGGCCTGGCCTTCTTGGTCTCGGGATGGGTGTGTGGGCTGTGGGCTGTAAGGGACCTCCCACTAGGGGACAGGGCCTCCTCCACCAGCCCCTCCTTGGTGCAGCTCTGAACATTTACGCACACTGAGGTCTGCTTCTTGGGGTCATCGATGACCACAGAGCTGCACAAACGAATGGCCGTCACGCTGGATTTGCCCACATCTTCCAAAGGAGGGCCGGTAGGCTGAGAACTACTAGGTTTCGGGAAGCGAGTCCAAGCCTTCTTATTGTTGGAACCTTCTTCTGTTCGAGTGTTTAGCCAATTACTCTCAGGAGGCTGGGGGTTTTTTAAGTTCAAGTCATTCTTTTCCGGGTCATAGGGCTGCAAAAGCTCAGGATGCCTCTGAAAGTTCAACATGTGGGATGGCTTCACTGGCCCCTCTTTGCATTCTAGAACCCCATTCTTGCCCTCAAAGAGAGAGGACTGTTTCAGGTTTCTCACTGGGCTGGGTTGGGCATAAGGATTTTCTGGGAGCTGCAATTCCTCGGCGCTGGTCTCCTCCAGCACAGACCCGTTGCTGGAATGCAGGGGCAGGTTACTTATCACCGGAGATGGGAATGGTGGCCCATCTTCAGGAAAAGATGTGCCTGCCATACATCGCTCTGTGTTATTCAGGACTATGTAGGGGTGGCCATCAATTCCCTGTACCCGGATACTGACACCATAGGAGCCTGCCTTCAAGGGTTGGGAATTCCGTGACTTTTTGCCGTCATCACTTGCGAGTCTCAGATGGACGCCATATTCTTGCTGCACATGTTGATATTCACCAAAATACAGCTCCATGGTTCACTGCTCCTGCGACCAGGGAAAGACGGGGTAAAAAGAAGACATTAGGTTAGAATTACACCTGTTTAAATGAAGATGATGAGGGGAAAGTTCAAAGAAAATGCAACACTTTAACCAGCAAGGACACTTCGGAAACAACTGCTCACCCAAACAGGCCTTTCTGGATGCCCTCCATGACCATGGAGTTGTCAACACCGGGCTTGAACCCTGGCCTCTGGGGGGAAGACGGGACAACACCTTTGGCATAACCACCTTATTCTGTTTCTGGCTGACAGGCCGTTCTGGTTGCTTTGTTTTTTCCCTTAGTTGGTTTCCTCACACCTTATGCTATTTATTTTTAACCAATAGGATATTCCAGTTACTAGCATTTGAGAACAAGGTACTTTTCCATGAAACGATTAAGACTGAAGGCATTCTGATGGTCACCACTTTCTCTTCTCTCCTTCCTGTTGGAGCGCTTTCTACCTTTTTTATGCACAATCTTGCTTTGAAATCTTTCTATTTATTTGGATATAATAGTTCAGAACATTGTTTTACTTTGTTCCTGAGACTGACAATGAGAGTGAATGATTAAGAATAATTTTTCATTTTTTTCCTTACCAAAAAGGTTCTAGTAACACATGGACCTGAAAAATATTACAAAAAACTGAAGACTCGAGGTCCCTTATTTTGGGGTGTGTCCTAATGCCAAGGATCAGTGCCATCACCTCTCTGGGGCGTGGCCACCATCGTCAAAGACCGAACACAGATCACCAGGCAGGACGCCTAGCCCACCCCACACCCTGGGGCCTCCCACCAGAAATTCACTTCCACCCCCCACCCCACCCTTGGAGACTCCGACAGGAAGGAAGCCCCAAGAAGAGCAATAGCAACAGGTCACACATAACAGCTGTCTCATTTCTTTCACTCCTAGGGGCCCTTTTCAGGTTTCTTTCTATTCTGGAGTGAGCCTGGTAGCACATTTTCCAAGAAAATCAACTATCTGATCCAAATTTTCAAGTTTATTTGCAGAGAATTTTACAAATTATGAATCATTTCATCTCCTTTATAATTTCTCATTATCCAGTTACATTTCTTTGTGCTTTCTTCATCTAATTTTTGATTGAGCAAGTAAAATGTGTATCTCTCTCTATATATTTTTAAGAATAATTGTTCCCCTAAAGAGTAGTTCTCAAGATTTCTCAATCATTTCCCTTTTTTAATTTTCGTATTGAGTTCTAGCTTCATCTTTATTATCTCCTTCTGCTTTCCTTTATTTTACTTTGTTGTTTGGTTTCCAACTTCTTGACTTGCATGCTTCATTTATTTATTTTTACTATTTAATTACACCCCATGAGTTGCAATATCTGACTGTGTCAGTTAGGAATTGCATTGGTTCCTACTAACAAAGAGACCCAACTTAGCAACTCTAGAGTTAGGAATTTTTTTCCCCCAGAGGCAGGAAGTCCAAGGCCAGAATGGATGATGGCAGGATAGTTCTGAGGAATACCTCTCTCAACTTTTCCATTTATCTACTTTTAGCATGTATTAGACACCTTAGGATTACAAAACAGCTAACCAGCATCACATACGTCAAAGGTTCGTTAGGTCAGCTGAGTCAACCTTTTTAAGGAGCTTTCCTGGAAGTCCCACCCACCAATATTATTTTATATCTATCTCATTGGTGAGAACTTAATCATATGGCCACCCCCAACTACAAGGACAGATTGAGAAACAGGGATGTTTAGGGGGTCACTGACACTCTCAACAAAATCAGTATCCTGTTGACACTGGGAAGGCAGCCAATAATTTCTACCACAGTAACGTTTTTATCATTATTTCCTAAGTAGCTTCAATCTGTGGATTGGATTTCTTCTTTGATCCATGAGTTGTTTTTGAAAAAGTTTTTTCATATCCAGTATATCTGCTGTTGTGTTGTTTTGGTTTGGAGGGTCCTTATTTCTGTATGTTGTGAATTTCTACATGCACTATAGTAAAAAAATTAAGTTTCTACTATTCCTTCCTTTTTAAACATATTGAGGTTTCCTTTGTGGGCAAATGTAAGGATATTTTTGTCAACATTTACTGGGTAATGGGTATAGTCTCTTTTTTCAGGGTATGGAATTCAAAATATATCCATATAACTTTACCAATTTTTTATTCAGCTACAGTACATCCTGACTTACTTTGTCTTTCTAATTTGTCTTGAATCTGCCTGGATATATCTGTCTCTTACCGGCCTAGTGCTGTCTCTTCTGTTTGATGATTGTTCTTCTAAATATAAAACATGTTGGACATCATCACCTCCAGGTTTACAAAGGGGAACAACTTAGAGAAGGACATTCATCTGCAAATCCATTTTTAACTCACCAACCCCAATGATTTCATGACGCCTACTTTTATCTTCAGGCTCATTCTGACAGTATTAGGCAATTTCATTTTTTTTTTTTCAAGGTTTTACTTATTTGACAGAGAGAGATCACAAGTAGGCAGAGAGGCAAGCAGAGAGAGAGAGAGAGGAGGAAGCAGGCTCTCTGCCGAGCAAAGAGCCAGATGCGAAACTCGATCCCAGAACCCTGAGATCATGACCTGAGTGGAAGGTAGAGGCTTAACCCACTGAGCCATCCAGGCACCCCTAGGCAATTTCATTTTTAATCAACATTAAACAAGATATAATGAAAACTTGGATTCTCCAGCTTCCCTTTCCCATCACATTCCCCAGAGGAAACCAAGTGCAAATGTTAGCTGTTTCTCTAGTACTCACCTCCATGTTGCTCAATAATATGCCTAAATTCAATTGCCTAACTCACCAGTTTTACATATGGGTGATGACATACCATACATGCAAATTTCTCATTCTGTTAGCTTCTCAGTAATATTAACTATATTTATATTATGATTACATATCAATAATCAACCAAAATAATATATAAGTATTATATAAATATTTATTCACTAAACAGCTACACTGTAGGCTATGGCCATCCTTCTTTACAAAACTTTAACTTTTCTAGGGTTAATATCTGATTGCTAGTCTCACTTGTCTTCTTCCCAATACACCTACCTATCCTTAAATCCTTTTGTCAGCTACATCACGTTAGATCCTTACCAGTACTAATTTCAAAATAACCAAAACATCAGATAATTTGGTGATCTTTTCCCCTGGTGCCCTCCCTTCTGCAGGCTTCCATCCTTGCACCTTTTATTAGGGTCTTACATTGCTGTCTTCCTTCTGTGCTATATTGTGTCCAAAATTTCCTCTTTCTTAGCTTACCCAGTTGGTCTGGAGGAGTTCACTTCTGGTAGCTTTTTTTTTTTTTTTTTAAGATTTTTATTTATTTATTGAGAGAGAGGCAGTGAGAGAGAGCATGAGTGAGGAGAAGGTCGGAGGGAGAAGCAGACTCGCCGTGTTGCTGGGAGCCCGATGCGGGACTCGATCCCGGGACTCCAGGATCATGACCTGAGCCAAAGGCAGTCGTCCAACCAACTGAGCCACCCAGGCGTCCCTTCTGGTAGCTTTTTAAGAGGTCCAAGGGAGTAAACTTTTTGAGTCCTTGGTGTTTTGAAAAATGTCTTTTTTCTATGCTTAGTTTGATGATGGAAAGTCTAACTGGATATAGAATCCAGGTTAGAAATAATTCTCCCTCTGATTTTTTAAAGTATTACTTTGTTATCTTGTACCTTCCAGGGATGCCACTAAGAATTCTTCCATTAGGGGCGCCTGGGTGGCTCAGTGGGTTAAGCCTCTGCCTTTGGCTCAGGTCATGATCTCAGGGTCCTGGGATAGAGCCCTGCATCGGGCTCTCTGCTCAGCAGGGAGCCTGCTTCCTCCTCTCTCTCTCTGCCCACCTCTCTGCCTACTTGTGATCTCTCTCTATCGAATAAATAAATAAAATCTTTAAAAAAAAAAAGAATTCTTCTATTAGGACAGCCTTTCCTCCGTGTGTGCCCTATGTACTCTTCTCTGACAGCTTTTAGGACCTTTTCTTCATCCCTACTGTGGGTGAAATTTCACCTGATATATCTGAGTGAGGGTATTTTGTGAGTGAGGGTATTTTTTTTTTTTTTAAGATTTTATTTGTTTATTTGACAGAGATAGTGAGAGAAGGAACACAGCAGGGGCAGGAGAGAAGCAGGTTTCCCACTGAGCAGGGAGCCCGATGCGGGGCTCAATCCCAAATGACCTGAACCAAAAGCAGACACTTAACGACTGAACCACCCAGGGGCTCCGTGAGTGAGAGTTTTATAAAATATGGGTGCTTGGGGTGCCTGGGTCGCTAAGTCAGTTGAGCATCTGCCTTCAGCTCAGGTCATGATCTGAGTCCTGGGATCGAGCCCTACATTGGCCTCGTGCTCAGTGGAGAGCCTGCTTCTCCCTCTGACTGCTTGTGCTTTTTCTCTCTCATTCTCATTCTATCTCAAATAAATAAATAAAATCTTTTAAAAAAATGGGCACTTAATATACTTCTCCAATTTGGAAATTTATGTCATTAGTTCTATTAAATGTTCTGGTGTTTTTTGTGTGATAATGTTCAGAGAACCATTTTATTTTGCTTTTGGTTTTTGCATCTAAGATATTAGTAATGTTGCATCTTTCACATTGAGTTTCAAGTTTTTGGATTTTTTTTTCCCTCAACTACTTCTCAACTCTGTCTTTTTAGTTTTACTTTTTTGAGAGCTACATCCTCAACTTCTTCTAAAATTCAAGTATTTCATTTGTAATCCCCATTATCTCCTTCTTATTCTCTAATTGGTTCTGTTGCATTCTAAATGCTATTCTCATTTTAGACATGAAATAGCTTCTCTCTCTCTCTCTGAAGATACTATAACTTTTTCAAAAGAAAATATTTTTTTTTCCTGCTTTCTGCAATAGGTCCATCTTCTGTAAGGTTTCTCTTTGCTGGTTTGTTTCGGTTCTTTCTTTCCTGATGAAGCCTTTCCTAAGAGGACTCAGATCCTTGGCCGTCCAATCCTATTGAACAGTACAGTCCTAAAAGCAGATTGGAGCCTCTGCAAGCATGAAGAGGAGT